AGTGCTGAGACTGGTTGTGTCCCAGGCCCAAGACATCAGGCCACCTCCTCCTCTGAAGGGCAGTGGGAGGGGAGAGGCGGCCCCACCCCTGCTCACTTGCACGTGTTGGTGAAGATGATGACGGACCAGTCCTCATGCTCATCCTGGAAGCGCTGGATCAGGTGGACCAGGTAGGCGTCCTTGACCTTCTCAGGCACCAGTAGGTAGCGCTGGTCCAGCTGCTCCACGGTGCTCACCCTGGGGACGGACAGGTGGACCGTCGCTCCTCAGTGTACCTGCCTCTCGGATGGGGCTGCCCCTCCCCGCCCCCGGCTGTCTGGGCTGTGGACTCACGGGGCCTGTGCCTCCCAGAAGAATGGCTGGTTGGTGGCCAGGCCCTGCAGCTCCCGGAGTGTGTCGGTTAGCGTGGCGCTGAACAGCAGCGTCTGCCTGCGGGCTGGCACGGCCGCCAGGATGGTCTCCAGGTCCACAGTGAAGTCAGTGCAGCCCTGTTCCAGCAGCCGGTCTGCCTCGTCCATCACCTGCCGTGCCAAGGGGGCGGGGGTGAGGGTACTGTTGATGGTCCCAGGTCTTGGCCACCCCTGAAACAGGCCTCTTTGAGAGGCGTGGACATGGGCCCTGGAGCACCCTCCTTCCAAGGGAGGCCTGCCCCTCACCCAAATCCCAGCAAGGCCCTGCCCCTAAATAACATTGCTAGGACTGGGGCCCCTCTTATTGGTCCTCGATTGGTCCTTGTCACCATTTCTAGCATTTTACGGGACAGTCTAAGGGACATACATTTCCTAAACAGATGAGATGGTGCCCCCAGGCTCTGATGCTGGGCCTGGAGGCTCTGAGCCCAGCTCCTGAGGTCTGCTCGTGGGGGTGGGGGGACTCACCAGGAAGCGGATCTTCTTTATACTAAAAGTGTTGGAGCTGCGCAGGTGATCTGCCAGGCGCCCTGGCGTGGCAATGACCACGTGTGGTTTCCGGGAGAGCTCCAGCGCCTGGGCCACCATGTCTGGGGGGCAGAGAGTGAGAGGCGGGGCTGGGTGGGTGGTCCAAAGCTGCCAGGGTCCCATGCTGGGGCCTCCCCTGCCTTCCAGTTCCCATACCCAGGCCACCGACGATGATGCAGTCTTTCAGCCCCAGAGGCTTCCCCAGGACCCGGAACTGCTCTGCGATCTGGTAGGCCAGCTCCCTGTGGGTGTGAAGGGGCCAGGCTGGGTCAGGTAGTGGTTCTGAACCTGCCTCCCATTCCCCTCTCCATTCCCAGGGTCTCTCCCTGAGGCCCCAGGTTCCTGACTTGCCCGGTCCTGTTCACAAAGATAGTGAGCGTTGGCCGGGTGTGGTGGATCATGCCTGTGAGCCAAGCACTTCGGAGGCCAAGGCAGGCGGATCACCTGAGGTCGGGAGTTCAAGACCAGCCTGACCAACATGGTGAAACCCCCTCTACTAAAAAAAAAAAAAAAAAAAAAAAGATACTGAGCGTTGATTGTGGCCCCTGCCCCCTCGTCAGGCTCAGCCCGGAACATTCCTCCTTCATCAGCCCGATCCAAACTGGCTTCAGCATCTCCTCCTAGCCCAAACCTGTGCCTTCCCCCAAGTTCACCACTCAGCAATGGCCTCACCACCAGCCAGGGAGTCTCAAGCCTCAGGCTTCTCTCTTCCTCTCTGTCCCCCAGTCAACTCTGTCCTGGCCTCTCCCTGGCCCGTGACCTTTCCTGCTCACACACCCTCAGAATCAACCCTCTGCCTGGCATTCAAGGCCCTTCTCAAACTGGCTCCAATATGCTCGGGCCCTGGTAGCCTTTCTGCTGCAGCCTCTCTCACGCATCTCCTACATGCACTAGCAGGTCCCTCTGGCCAGAATACCTTTCCCTAAACTTGTCCCTTTGCAGGGCCCCTTTCATTTTCTTTTCTTTGAGATGGAGTCTTGCTGTGTCGCCCAGGCTGGAATGCAGTGGTGCCGTCTCAGCTCACTGCAACCTCCACCTCCCAGATTCAAGCGAATCTCTGCCTCAGCCTCTAGAGTAGCAGGATTACAGGCATGTGCTACCACACCCAGCTAATTTTTCTATTTTTAGTAGAGACGGGGTTTCACTATGTTGGTCAGGCTGTTCTCAAACTCCTGACCTCGTGATCCACCTGCCTTGGCCTCCCAATATGCTGGGATTACAGGTGTGAGCCACCGCACCTGGTCCGGCCCTTTTCATCTTTAAGACACTCTTTGAGTGAAGCCTTCCACAACACCGCGCCCCCCCCCCCACCCCACCACCGCAAGCCACACCATTGTGGCATACCATGCCCACTTCTGCTGTCATAGGACTCATCACATCAACTGCTCTGCTTGCTTGCCCAAGGACAGGAGACATGTCAATTTCTTTTTTTTCAGGTGGGGAGACAGAGTCACTCTTGTTGCCCAGGCTAGAGTGCAATGGCAGAATCTCAGCTCACTGTCACCTCTGCCTCCTGGGTTCAAGTGATTCTCCTGCTTCAGCCTCCCAAGTAGTTGGGAGTACAGGTACTCACCAGCATAGCTGACTAATTTTTTGTATTTTTAGTAGAGACAGGGTTTCTCCATGTTAACCAGGCTGGTCTTGAACGCCTGACCTCAGGTGATCCACCCACCTCAGCCTCCCAAAGCGCTGGAATTACAGGCGTGAGCCACTACGCCCGGCCTGATATGTCAATTACTTAGGCTCTAAAACTATCGGAAGCTCCCAACTGGCCAGTGCTTGCGCTGCTTCGAGCCCTGTGCTGGGAACTTGTCCCACACACACCATCTTATTTTATTCTGTTTTTTTTTTTTTGGTTTTTTTTTTTTTTTGAGATGGAGTTTCGCTCTTGTTACCCAGGCTGGAGTGCAATGGTGCGATCTCGGCTCACCACAACCTCCGCCTCCTGGGTTCAGGCAATTCTCCTGCCTCAGCCTCCTGAGTAGCTGGGACTACAGGCACGTGCCACCATGCCCAGCTAATTTTTTGTATTTTTAGTAGAGATGGGGTTTCACCATATTGAGCAGGATGGTCTCGATCTCTTGACCTCGTGATCCACCCGCCTCGGCCTCCCAAAGTGCTGGGATTACAGGCTTGAGCCATCGCGCCCAGCTGTTTTGTTTTTTTTTGAGACACAATCTGGCTCTATCACTCTGTCGCCCAGGCTGGGGAGCAGTGGCTCCATCTCGGCTCACTGCAACCTCCACCTCCTGGGTTCAAGTGATTCTCCTGCCTCAGCCTCCAGAGTAGCTGGGATTACAGGCACACACCACTGTGCCCAGCTAATTTTTATCTTTTTAGTAGAGACGGGGTTTCACCATGTTGGCCAGGCTGGTCTCCAACACCTAGTCTCAAGTGATCTGCCCACCTGGGGTTCCAAAAGTGCTGGGATGACAGGTGTGAGCCACTGTTCCTGAGCCATCTTGTTTAATTCTGTAGGACCCCTAAGAGGTGGGCAGCAAGATTTTCATCCTCATCTCACATGTGGGAAAAGGGCACTCAGAGAAGGAAAGGCACTTGCCTGAGAGAACACAGCTGGTTAACGCATACCCAGGAGGCCTGCTGGGGGCTCACCTGGTGGGTGTCAGGACGAGGCAGAAGATACCATAGGGGTCCTCAGACAGCTTCTGCAGGATGGGAAGGACAAACGCTGCTGTCTTCCCGCTGCCCGTCTTGGCACAGCCCAGGCAGTCCCGACCTGGGTGGGGGACAACGCAGCATCAACACCCTCCAGGTGCGGACAGCTATTCCACCGGGGACAGTTTGCAACAGCTTCCATTTAATGAGCAGTTACTGTGTGCCAAGTCCTGTTTGCCAGTAAGCCTTTTCCATTCTGGGCATACTGACCACTTTTCCACTGGCAAATGACAAATCCTAGGAAGGGGAGACTATTATCGTCTCCATTTAACCGAAGGGGAAACTGAGTTTCAGAGACCTGCTCAGGACACACAGCTGGTGAGTGGCAGGCTGGACTGGAACCCAAATCCATTCGACCTGAGATGCCCACAGCTTCCCAACACCTCATTCTATCTCCCTCCGAACTTGGGGAACCCAGAATTCCCTTCCCTCATATGCATCTTATGCTCCCTGTTGACCCCTTCATTTATTTATTTAAATGCCTGACTTGTCACATCTTGGACTTCCTGTGGGCATCTCTCTAATGGCAAAACTGAGCTGGGCTAGAGCAGAGAAGACCTGCTCCTGGCGGAGCAATCACAGGACCAAGGAGTCCTGGATCTACCAGCAATTTCCACAACCTCAACTTCTATTTGCAAAACGCAGATTGTAGTATCAGGTCTGCAGGATTTTGCAATACTATCAACTAGTTATTCACCAAACCCTCCCTGTGCTGAGACTATGAAAATTTCAGACTACATCACTTGGGTACGGACACAAATCAAGTCAGTCATGGAACCTAAATTCCAACACTGTCCAGTCGGACTCCGGAACACCGGATCTCCTGTAATGCCGGAGACTACCCCTCGCCTCGTGGGACCGGAATGAGCAAAGGCTGCGAGAAGGAAAAGGGGTCGAGGGGAGCGGAGACGCTTTTTGCGGAAGGCGCCGGGCCTACTCACCCTCCAGGATGGCGGGGATGCAGCCGAGCTGCACGGGCGTGGGCTGCTTCAAACCCAGCTGCCGACATTGTTCCACGAGCCACGATGACAGCCCGAGCTGCGCGAAGCCTGCCATCCTTGTGCCCAGCCGTGGGAGAGACCGTGCGATTCGCGCTTCCGGCGCGCACCGACGACGTCACGAGAACGTCTTCTTATTTATTGGATCTGCCTCCTGCGTGGTTCCACCCTCCCCAGCTCCCTCAGCCCATTGCCAGTTTCGACCGCATCTTTATCATGTTTCCCCGAATTCCATTGGCTCGCAGAAACACACTACGATTCCCGAGATGCCCTGCGTGACGCCCTTACGTCTTCCGCCCCCTTGCTTATCATTGTAGAGCTTCCCATTGGCTTACTTCGCCACCACTCGGAAGAAGTAAACTACATTTCCCAGTGTGCCCCGTGGCGGGGTCTTGCTTCCGGCCGACGTGTCTTTCAGGAAGAGGAGCGGGTGACATGGCGCCTCCGGTCCCCGGCCCAGCCTCCGGTGGCTCCGGGGAAGTGGATGAGCTGTTCGACGTGAAGAACGCCTTCTACATCGGTAGCTACCAGCAGTGCATAAACGAGGCGCAGCGGGTGAAGGTGCGGCCGCGCAGGGGCGCGGGGACGCTGGGGGCGGAGGCGGAAGACGCTTCCTGGTGGCCGCGAGCCGCGTTCTGCGTCTAAAAACTTTCTCTTTTCTCTTCGCGTTTTTTGGGCCCCTGTCCACAGTTTAGTGAGGAGTAATCACTGTCCCATGACAGAACCCAGAGCAGTGACAGTTTACGGTACTGCTCACTGGTGCAGCGCTCTCTCTGCGCCCTTGGACGCGTTTGAGTAATGGAGGTGTTTATGCTGCTGTAGTGACAATAAGTGTTTTTTGTCTAGCCGTACCCTTAGTTCCCTTGAGATGGGGATTGTTGTTTATCCTCATTTTACGGATTAGAACACCAAAGTTCAGAGGGAGAAACCGCTTCCCCGACGTTTCCCTGGCCACCAAGTCCGGTTATTTCTCCCAGAGCTTACCCATTCATTCAGTCATTCATTCATTCATTTCTTCATTAAGCACTTTTATTATGGAACGGGCACTGTATTCCGCTGGACTCTGAATGATTACAGATAGTTTCCCAGCGCAGTGGCTCACGCCTGTAATTCCGGCACTTTGAGAGGCCGAGGCAGGCGGATCGCAGGAGCTCAGGAGTTGGAAACCAGCCTGGGCAACATGGTGAAACCCTGTCTCTACTAAAAATGCAAAAATTAGCCAGGCGTGGTGGCGGGCACCTGTAATCCTAGCTACTCGGGAGGCTGAGACAGAAGAATCGCTTGAACGGGAGGGAGGCGGAGGTTGTAGTGAGCCAAGATCACCACTGCACTCCAGCCTGGGTGACAAAATTCTAAGAATTAAAGACAGAGGAAAGAAACAGGAAAGGTGGCTTGCCAGTCAAGACAAGTGTATTTTAGAGAAAACTCGAGAGGTACCTTCTGGCCGAGTTGGGTCAGAGGCACTCTTTTACAGTCTAAAAGGTGTGGTTTTTTGTTTTTTGTTTTTTGTTTTTTTGAGACGGAGTTTCGCTCTTGTTACCCAGGCTGGAGTGCAATGACACGATCTAAGGATTCAGGGTGGGAGAGTTGATCAGAGGCTTGGGCTGCTTCTCTGTCTCTTTGTTGTGCTTATCTGGGAAGGATAGTTGTGTGTCTGTTCCCATAGGTCTTTATACAGCTGCAGGCATACTCCCGAGTCTGCTTTAACTTCCCTGTCTTAGCGTACCTGCAGGGAAAGGAATGTGCTTATTAAGGCCCACTGTTTTACCGGGGCCCATTGTGTGAGGGCGAACTTTGGCAGTTACCCAAAAGACTTTCCACCACCTCCCTCTGTGCCCTAGCTGTCTTATCTGTGTTTTCCCGTCTGCTTTTTCTGGCTGCTTGTTGTTAGAGGAGAAGTGATTTCAGCCGGGCGCAGTGGCTCACGCCTGTAATCCCAGCACTTTGGGAGGCTGAGGCGGCTGGATCATGAGGTCAAGAGATCGAGACCATCCTGGTCAACATGGTGAAACCCCGTCTCTACTGAAAATACAAAAAAAGAGCTGGGCATGGTGGTGCGTGCCTGTAATCCCAGCTACTCAGGAGGCTGAGGCAGGAGAATTGCCTGAACCCAGGAGGCAGAGGTTGCGGTGAGCCGAGATCCCGCCATTGCACTCCAGCCTGGGTAACAAGAGCGAAACTCCGTCTCAAAAAAAAAAAAAAAAAAAAAAAAGAAGAGAAGTGATTTCCTTGAAATGCATGAGGCTAGAGAGAGAGCTGGAACTTAAAGTGGCAGTGTTTGTCCAAGATGAGGGTACTCCTGCTCTGTCAAAAGTGAGACCTTGTCTCAAAAAAAATCTGCCCGCCTCGGCCTCCCAAAGCCCTGGGATTACAGACGTGAGCCATCGCACTGAACCAAAAAAAAAACAGAATTTTTCTAGCAGGTTTTCTGACCTTCACCAGAACCCCCAGCTGGAAGGAAAAAAAAAAAAAAAATGCAGAGGGAGATTTGAAACACAGAGAGGAGGCAGAGATGGGAGTGATGCGGCCAGAAGCTGAGGAATGTCACAGTCACCAGAAGCTGGGAAAGGCAGGGAAGCATCCTACCCTAGAGGTTTTGTAGGGAGTGTGGCTCTGCTGGCACCTTGACTTGGTACTAATGGCCTCCAGGACTGTGAGTGTGAGGGGAATTTTTTTTTTTTTTTTTTTTTTTTTTTTTGACGGAGTCTCACTCTTTCGCCCAGGCTGGAGGTGCCGTGGTGCGATCTCAGCTCACAGCAACCTCCACCTCCCAGGTTCAAGCCATTCTCCTGCCTCAGCCTCCCGAGTAGGTGGGATTACAGGCGTGCGCCAGCACACCTGGCTGATTTTTGAGGAATACATTTTTTCAGCCTTTTGGTCTGTGGTGGTTCGTGACAGTGGCCTGAGTAGCCTAAGATAGTCCCACCTGAGGTGACCCCAGGGAGAGCACCTGACATGTCTGTACCCTTTGTCCTAGCACTAAGCTACCATCGTGACATTTCTGGGTTTCTCAGACATTTGTCAGTTGCCCACAAGGTGGCAGGCACCGCCCAGCTGCTGGGGTTGAAGCAGCTCACAGGCCTTGAGTTGTTGACGGCACAGTGCAGTCTGGTCACTGGCTACAGGGACAAAGGGGAGGAGTCACTACCTCCAGGTTTCCGGCTACAGGGCCCCCATCCTGTCACCTGCCACAGCTTAAGCCACCTGGGGCTAGTGCTGGGGCCACCCTAGGGCCAGGTGACCTTGGTGGACGTGGCCTCCTGGCTTTGCTGGTTTCTGGGTTCCCCAGTGATCCTAGTGAGCCATTGGGAGAGCAATGCTCTCCCTCCCCGGGGTCACACATGCGTCCTGATGGTGGGATCGTCCTTGGGAATCAAAGAAAACCACAAAGGTTCCAGAGCCTCACATCAGGGTCACGGTCTCCACATTTGATGTTGTTACCTTCCTGGCGCTCTTCTCTCTCCAGTGCGCCCCGCAGCCTCTGAACACTAATGTACACACAGTCTCCTGGGCACCTGCATTTCACATGGGCGGCCGAGGCCACCCCGGTGCCTGCCATGGCACCCCACTGTGCCCTTGCTTTGAAAGCCCCAACAGCCAGCTTTTGTCTCTTTTTTTGGTCCCCTAAAGGTAGACAGGGTCTCACTGTCACCCAGGCCGGAATGCAGTGCAGTGGCATGATCATAGTCTCCTCTAGCCTTGACCTCCCAGGCTCCAGCAATCCTCCATCAGCCTCCCGAGTTGCTGGGACTAGAGGTGCACGTCACGACACCCAGCCAATTTTTAAAATTTTTTATAAACACAGTGTCTCAGACTGGGCGTGGTGGCTCACGCCTGTAATCCCAGCACTTTGGGAGGCCAAGGCAGGTGGATCATGAGGTCAGGAGATCAAGACCGTCCTGGCCAAGGTGGCAAAACCCAGGCTCTACTAAAAATACAAAAATTAGCCGGGCGTGGTGGTGGGTGCCTGTAGTCTCAGATAATCAGGAGGCTGAGGCAGCAGAATTGCTTGAACCCTGGAGGCAGAGGTTGCAGGGAGCTGAGGCCATCATGCCCCTACATTCCAGCCTGGGCGACCGAGTATAACACCGTCTCAAACACACACACACACACACACACACACACACGGTCTTGCTATGTTGCCTACGCTGGTCTCAAACCCCTGGACTTAAGCATTCATCCTGCTTTGGCTTCCCAAAGCACTGGGATTACAGGTATCAGCTCCCATACCTAGCCTCTCTTTTTACCTTTTTTGTGTGTGAGACAGTCTCTCACTCCTGTTGCTCAGGCTGCAGTGCAATGGCTCAATCTTGGCTCATTGCAAACTCCGCCTCCTGGGTTCAAATGATTCTCCTGCCTCAGCCTCCTCAAGTAGCTGGGCTTACAGGCACGCACTACCATGCCCAGCTAATCTTGTATTCTTAGTAGAGACGGGGTTTCTCCATGTTGGTCACGCTGGTCTTGAACCCCCGACCTCTCAGGTGATCCACCCGCCTCGACCTCCCAAAGTGCTGGGATTACAGGCTTGAGCCACCGCGCCCGGCCTGCCTCTCTGTTTTTAAACTGAGAGTCGCATGGGGCCCCAGGCTTGTCACCTCTCTGATGTCCACCTCAGAAGGTTGCTTGAGAGTTATTTATGAACTAGTTTTGAGACAGTCTCTCTCCATTGCCCAGGCTGGAGTGCAGTGGTGCAGTCTTGGCTCACTGCAGCCTCGACCTTCCAGGTTCAAGCAATTCTCCTGCCTCAGCCTCCAGAGTAGCCGGGACTATAGCCATAAGCCACTGCTCCCAACTGATTTTGTATTTTTAGTAGAGACAGGGTTTCACCATGTTTTCCCGGCTGGTCTGGAACTCCTGACCTCAGGTGATCCACCCGCCTGGGCCTCATGAAGTACAGGGATTACAGGTGTGAGCCACTGCACCCAGCCTGTAATATTTTTCTTTGCATACTTGAGTATATCTCTCACCTCTCCATCCCACTTGCCGGTGGGGCTCCATTTCTGCAGCCTCCATCCTCCAAATGCCTTTGACATTCTTCTAGGAGTGAGTGAGTTATTGAGACAGCGTTTTGCTCTTGTCACCCAGGCTGGAGTGCAATGGCGCGATCACGGCTCACCGCATCCTCCACCTCCCGGGTTCAAGCAGTTCTCCTGCCTCAGCCTCCCAAGTAGCTGGGATTACAGGCATGTACCACCATGCTCGGCTAATTCTGTATTTCTAGTAGAGATGAGGTTTCTCCATGTTGGTCAGGCTGGTCTTGAACTCCTGACCTCAGGTGATCCACCTGCCTTAGCTTCCCAAAGTGCTGGGATGACAGGCATGAGCCACTGCGCCCAGCCGGAGTTATTTATTTAGAAAACATCTCATTCCAAAACCCAGCCAGATACCTAGTCTGGCTACCAGAGTCTGAACAGAAGCTGCTGGGGCCTCTTGGCACCACCAGCCTGAGTCAGGCTGGGGCCAGGTCTTCGGTGGAGATGAGGGATGAGGACACGTTTGACACCCACACTCCCCCCTTAGGCAGGCGAGAAGGAAGAGATGTGTCTTGGAATCTGTGGTTCTCTGCCTCAGGGGACAGGGTAGCACAGCCCCGCCCACCTGGTTTGGGCGCTGGATCCTTTGCCCCTGTACCACGGCGCTGGCAGGTCCTCTTGCTGAGAGCCCTCTCCATCCCTCCCATTTAGAGGTGGTTGGAGTGACGATGCCAAGGTGGCTGGGCCCCTTCCCAATTGCACTTTTCCTCTTGAAGCCCCCAGGCGCCTGTGCCAGCACCCTCAGGCCACAGGCTGAGCTGCACTGTGTCCACCTGCGTGGGCATCCTGGGAAGTCAGCCAGCCCCTGGGGGTACTCTGCGAAGCGGGGCTCCAGAGGAGGGCCCCAGCCTTCCTGCCTGGCCTGGGCCCAGGGGCAGCTTCCTGATCATCCCGAAATGGGTATTGCCACAGGTCACCTCCCTCCTGCTCCTCAGTTCTGTGCAGTGGCTGGGCCGTGGGGGGTGTGGCCCAAGTACAGGGCCATCCCCAGGCTCTCCCCTGGCCAGGGCTGGGCACAGATGTTACCACACTGGGACAGCCCAACTGAGCTCAAAATGTCTTGAGACAAAAACAGAACAGAATCAAGCCACAGTGGCCCCAAGTCCAGCAGTTAGAGGTGCAGGCGCCACCCTGGCTCCTCGAGTGTGGCTGGAGCAGGCACTGGACTTTGGGAGCAAGCTTTCTTCCTGGGGTGGTGTCGGGGTGGGATGAGATCAGGTACCCCCGTGTAGGGTGCCCCCAGCAGAAGCCACTCTCAGGCTCCCCAAGGTCACGGGCAGTGGAGGATCAGAGCTAGGACTCAGACCTTCAACCCCGCTGGAGAAGTCACCTGTCCCCAGCATACAGGGGCCTGTCTGTCTGTCATGCTCACCCTGTGTTGTGTGGCTGCACGGGGCCTCCTGTGCATCATGACCCACGTTGGTTCCCACAGCTGTCAAACCCAGAGAGAGACGTGGAAAGAGACGTCTTCCTGTATAGAGCATACGTCGCGCAGGTGAGTGCGGGCCTGGGGCCGGGGGTGAGAGTGATGAACAGAGTAGAGGGTGGGGCTGGGGGCAGGGACAGCAAACAGAGCAGGGACCTAGGCCTGTGCGTGCAGTGACTGTGAACAGCCAGTGCAGCAGCACGTGAAGGCAGCTGTGTCGCACAGGCCCGAGACTACCATGCCAGGGGGCCTGGGTCACAGCTTCTTGATTTTTGTTTATTTATTTATTTAGAGACAGAGTCTCCCTCTGTCGCCCAGGCTGGAGTGCAGTGGCGTGATCTCGGCTCACCAAAACCTCCATCTCCCGGGTTCAAGTGATTCTGTTGCCTCAGCCTCCTGAGTAGCTGGGATTATAGGTACCCACCACCACGCCCAGCTGATTTTTATGCTTTTAGTAGAGATGGAGTTTCTCCATGTTGGTCAGGCCGGTCTCAAACTCCTGACCTCAGGTGATCCACCTGCCTCAGCCTCCCAAAGAGCTGGGATTACAGACATGAGCCACCATGCCCAGGTGATTTTTTTTTTTTTTTTTTTTTAAATAATTTGTAGGAACCAGGCACGGTGGCTCACACCTGTAATCCCAGCAGTTTGGGAGGCTGAGGTGGGAGGATCACTTGAAGCCAGGAGTTCAAGACCAGCCTGGGCAACATACTGAGACGTCCATCTCTACAAAAAATTTTAAAAATAAGCCAGGCATGATGGCATGTGCCTAGAGTCCCAGCTACTTGGGAGGCTGTGAGGGCTGGGCCCCTGGCTGCAGATGTGACCGTAGTGTCATTGTGGTCCTCTTTGGGAGGGCCGATGGGTGGAGCAGGGCTGGCTGGGGGCATGTCCTGCTTTGTAGAATCACATGCCACAGCCCCCAGTCGCTACTGCTGCCCCGCCCCCGATGACATGCCCATCCTCACCTTCACCTCACACCAGAGGTGGACAGCTCAGGGGGACAGACAGTAACCCGCCAGGGTCCCCAGCTCAGAGCATGGGCAGTGTGGCCCCACAGATGAAGACACACCTGCTGCTCATGGCAGGTGATGCCATGCCACACCCACCTCCACCATGTACTGCAGTGGGGGTGGCCCTTGCTGGGTTGAGGGGTCCCTGGTAGGGCAGGGGCATCCCATCTGGGGCTCTCCCTGCCAAGGTGAGGACATGGATATCCTCTGGGGCGGGTGGGTGACCAAGCTGACGCCTTGTCCCCACTACAGAGGAAGTTTGGCGTGGTCCTGGATGAGATCAAACCCTCCTCGGCCCCCGAGCTCCAGGCCGTTCGCATGTTTCGCTGACTACCTCGCCCACGAGAGCCGGAGGTGAGGCCCCAGAGGGCAGACTGGCCTGGGGCGTGGGGCCTTCTCTGAGGCCTGTTGGTTATGAACCTGGGGGGGCGGTGCGCGTGGTGTGCAGCACACAGCACCTTCAGATGAGGCGCCTCTCCCCTCTGCCCCCCTGCTTCTTTGTGTGTTCAGTTTCCCTCGCCTGCACAGCAGTGAGGACTGGTCCTGGACCCTGCTTCAAAGGGGAGAGCCAGAGACAGTGCCGTGTGTGCACCTGCCCTCAGGGCCCACAGGGCACTCTCTGGACCTAGAATTGAGAATGTCAGTCAATGAGACCCCAAGATAGCCCAGGGCTCAGCGGGGTGGGGCCTTCCAATCAGTTTCTTTTTCTTTTTTTCTTTTTTGAGTTGGAGTCTCCCTCTGTTGCCCAGGCTGGAATGTAATGGTGCGTTCTCAGCTCACTGCAACCTCCACCTCCTGGGTTCAAATGATTTTTCTGTCTCAGCCTCCCTAGTAACTGGAACTACAGCCATGTGCCACCACACCCAGCTCATTTTTTTTTTATTTTAGCAGAGACGGGGTTTTACCATGTTGCCCAGGGTGGTTTCAAATTCCTGAGCTCAGGCGATCTGCCTATCTCACCCTCCCAAATGCGATCAGTTTTCTAGTCCCAGCTAGTCAGGGACTCTGTCCTGCCAGTGCCCCCCTTCAAGCCCAGGTGGAGGGCGGGTGAGGCCATGCCAGTCCTGCCCCTGAGCCACAGGCCAGCGTTGGTCAAATGCCCATGGGCAGCAGCCAAAGGGAGAGGGGGCTGGGCTGTGGGGACCCAAGAACCCTGCCCCCTCCTGCTGTGGGGTTGGAGTGGGGGTCTGGGACGAGGAGACCGCTGTGATCCTGTTCTTCCTTGGCCCATGGAGGCAGTGTTCCGACTACTGCCTCCCTTCACCCAAAGATGCTGGGATTGCTGGGAGCTGACTCCTGTGCAGAGGCCAGCATAGTGGGGTGAATGGGGTCCGCCAAAAGGCATGTCCGTATCCCATCCCATGTGTTTGTGAATGTGATACCATTTTAAAACAGTGTCTCTGGTCTACGGCCCTACCACTTTCAACACTCCCGATTTTGTCTGATCTCGGAAGCTAAGCAGTTTCGGGCCCGGTTAGTACTTGGATGGGAGAAAAAGCGACTTTGCCAATCAAATTAAGAGATGAGGAGATGGGCCGGGCGCGGTGGCTCAAGCCCGTAATCCCAGCACTTTGGGAGGCCGAGGCGGGTGGATCACGAGGTCAAGAGATCGAGACCATCCTGGTCAACATGGTGAAACCCCATCTCTACTAAAGGTGCAAAAAATTAGCTGGGCATGGTGGCGCGTGCCTGTAATCCCAGCTACTCGGGAGGCTGAGGCAGGAGAATTGCTTGAACCCAGGAGGCGGAGGTTGCGGTGAGCCGAGATCGCGCCATTGTACTCCAGCCTGGGTAACAAGAGCGAAACTCCATCTCAAAAAAAAAAAAAAAAAAAAAGAGAGAGATAAAAGAAGGGCCAGTTTTAGCTGGAAAGGCAAGAAAAAGAAAAAAAGAAAATGAGGGCCGGGTGCAGTGGCTCACGCTTGTAATCCCAGTACTTTGGGAGGCTGAGGCTGGCAGATCACCTGAGGTCAGGAGTTTTCGAGACCAGACTGGCCAACATGGAGAAACCCCGTTTCTATTAAAAATACAGAATTAACAGGGCGTGACGGCACATGTCTGTGATCCCAGCTGCTGGGGGGCTGGGGCAGGAGAATCGCTTGAACCAGGGAAACGGAGATTGCAGTGAGCCAAGATCGTGCCAGTGCGCTCCAGCCTGGGCGACAGAGGGGGACCGTCTCCAAAACAGAAAACTGGGGAGGGGGCAGGCACAGTGGTTTACCCCGTAATCCCAGCACTTTGGGAGGCTGAGGCGGGTGGATCACAAGGTCAAGAGATTGACGCCATCCTGGCCAACATGGCGAAACCCCATGTCTACTAAAAATACAAAAATTAACAGGGCACAGTGGGGTGCACCTGTAGTCCCAGCCACTCCGGAGACTGATGCAGGAGAATCACTCGAACCCAGGAGGCGGAGTTTGCAGTGAGCCGAGATGGTACCACTGCACTCCAGCCTGGTGACAGAGTGAGACTCTGTCTCAAAAAAGAAAAAAGGGCCAGGCGCAGCCCACAGCATTAAGCCCACGTGACAACAGAGACAGACCGGGGTGACATGTCTGCCAGCTGAGGAGCGCCAGGAGTGGCTGGCAGCCACGAGAGCCGCGGGAGAGGTGTGGGACGGCCTCGCCCTCCAGCCTCCACATGGAGCCAGCCCTGCCGCCACCTTGACGGTGGACTCGCGCCTCCAGAGCTGTGAGAAACGAAGCCCTGGTGTCCTCGGATTGCCCAGGTTGTGGCGCTTTGCCACAGCAACTCCAGAACATTCGGATGGGCGACCTCCCAGGGTCACTGTTTCTCCCACCCTGCACTTCACCAGCTGGGGTGAAGGCGGGGAACCCTGGGTCCCCCCGGAGCAGCGGCTGCTGTGAGCATCACAGCAAACAGCCCGGGAGAGCAGGCGGTCCAGCCAGGCGTTTGTGCTGCGTCTGTCCGGCCGCACAGCCGCTGCTGCCTCACTGGCAGGACGCCCCGGGACTGGAGGAGCCTCCATGAGTAATTGGTTTTGGTTTTGAGTTCTCTGTTCTGTTTTTTTGAGACAAAGTATTTTGCTCTGTTGCCCAGGCTGGAGTGCAATGATGTGATCTCAGCTCACCGCAACCTCCGCCTCCCGGGTTCAAGCAATTCTCCCGCCTCTGCCTCCTGAGTAACTAGAATTGCAGGCATATGCCACCGTGACCAGCTTTTTTTTTTTTTAGTAGAAACAGGATTTCACCATGTTGGTTAGGCTGGTCTTGAACTCCTGACCTTGTGATCTACCCACCTCAGCCTCCCAAAGTGCTGGGATTACAGGTGTGAGCCACGGCACCAGGCTGTGTTTTTCTTGAGATAGGGTCTTGCTTTGTCACTCAGCCTGGCATACAGTGGCATAATCTTGACTCACTGCTGCCTTGATCTCCCAGGCTCAAGTGATCCTCCCACCTCAGCCTCCCAAGTAGCTGGGACTACAGGCACGACATACCACCATGCCCAGCTAATTTTTGTGTTTTTTGTAGAGATGGGGTTTCACCACGTTGCCCAGGCTGGTCTCAAACTCCTGGGCTCGTGATCCGCCCAGTAATTGCTTTTGTTGCTGTTTGTTTTTGAGATGGTCTCGCTCTGCCACCGAGGCTGGAGTGCACGGGTGCAACCACAGCTCACTGCATCTTCAACCTCCCAGGCTGAAGCCATCCTCCTGCCTCAGCCTCCCAAGTAGTTGGGACTACAGGTGCCACCAGGCCCAGCTGACTTTTTTTGTAGAAAAAGGGTCCTATTATGTTGCCCAGGGTGGTCTTGAACTCCTGACCTTAAGCAATCCTCCTGCCTTGGCCTCCCAAAGCACTGGGGTTACAGACACGCCGGGACACCCGGCCCCATTGGTTTGTAACACCTCAGGATGACAACCTTCCGGTACCAATACTACAACAGCTGGCAGCGTTTACGCACTTTCATGTGCCGGAGCCTCAGGAAGCTTCGTAAGGGGGCCTTGAGTGCTGCATCCCACGTGACCCCTGTAACATGGTTCCTCAGCACGGGGAAACTGACTCTGACCTGAAGTCACTCGTCTATCAGGCCTGGCACCGTGGCCTCAGGAAGCTTCGTAAGGGGGCCTTGAGTGCTGCATCCCACGTGACCCCTGTAACATGGTTCCTCAGCACGGGGAAACTGACTCTGACCTGAAGTCACTCGTCTATCAGGCCTGGCACCGTGGCACGTCCTCAGTGGAGCCTGGTTGGCAACAGACACGCTGTGCTCTTGGTGACTCAGGCCCTGGGCAGACAGCCCCCAGATCCGCTTGGATGCTTATGGGGTCACGGAGCTGTGTGTGGACCCAGGGGAACACCAGCTTTGCTCTAGGGTATCTCCCTCGCCCGCCTTCTCTTGTCAGCTGCTCAGTAGCCATGGGGAATGGAGGGTCTGGGTCCAGTTGGGGACATAGAGACGAGTGACCTGCGCCCTTGGGGGAGCCCAGCCAGTCCTCAGCCTCACCTGGGCTCAAGCTTGGCCCTGGCCTGCAGCACGCTGGTCATCTTCAGGGTGCAGCTGGCATGCTGGACTCTTCAGGGACTGAGGGCAGTCACCCTGGCCAAGCTCCTGCTAGAAGATTTGGCCTTGAAGCCCACAGGGCCGATTGGTTATGGTCAGGAGTCCCAGCTGGGCCTACCAGCCTCCTTGGGAAGGTGGGTGAGGTTGGTGTCAGACTGGCAGTGCCTCCTCATGTCCCCTTGGGCACCCCATCCCACATGTCCCAGCCTTGGGATCCTTATCTGGACCGGCATAAGAGGTGCCTCATAGGGAGGGAGGGAGGGCATGTCGGGGCTGCTCTGCACCCCCAGTGCCTGGCTCACCCTCCCTGGGCCTGTCTGCTCCCAAGGAAGGGGAGCCTCTGAGATCCCGCAGGGCCGCCCCCGCTGTGGGTCCTGAGCATCTGTGTCTTGCAGGGACAGCATTGTGGCCGAGCTGGACCGAGAGATGAGCAGGAGCGTGGATGTGACCAACACCACCTTCCTGCTCATGGCCGCCTCCGTCTATCTCCACGACCAGAACCCGGACGCCGCCCTGCGTGCCCTGCACCAGGGGGACAGCCTGGAGTGGTGAGTGGCCGCCCTGCTCTGGGGCCAGCCTGGGAGGCAGGTGCCCCCCACCACATCTCCAGGCTGCGCACACATGGCCTGACTGGCCGTCGTCATGGGAACAGGGAATGAGGTGGCACTGAAACGAGGCCCCAGCCTGTTGTCCAGGCTCCAAGGACACGGTGCCCAGGCTGCAAACCCTCTGTTCCCAAGGGCAGAGCAGAAAGCAGCTTTGTCTCTGCTTGGCTTCTGTGTCCCCACCCCCCCACAAAGCCTTCTGTGCCTCGGCCCTGGGCCCAGTCTCTCACACTTCCCCAGGCCCCCCACACTGGTGCTTCCCCAGGGCCGTCTGGGGTTGGGGTGCTGGAGCCCTGCAGAGTGAGTTCGGTGCCTCCTCCACCCCACGATGTGACTCTGGGCCGTGTCCAGGGCACTGGTCACAGAAAGTGTGTCGGCTCTTCCCGGCGAGCTGTCGTGGAGTGCCTGCCTTCTGCCATGAGTCCCAAGCTGGGCATTACACGGGAGCTGTGGATCGGCTCCTGTCCCACTTCCATGCACAGAGGGCTGAGAATGGAGGGCGGCAGCCAGGCGTGGTGGCGTGCACCCATTCCAGCTGCTCAGGAGGCGGAAGCGGGAGGTGGAGCTGTGATGGCACCACTGCTCTCCAGCCTGGGCAGCCAGACCCTGTCTCACAAAAAAAAAATCAATAGAGATGTCATGCTGCCGGCGGGCCGGTGGACACGGTGCTGGACCAGGCGCTGGCTCCTGTTGGCGGTCACGGCCGCCTGGGGCCGAGAAGGATGAGGAGACCTGCAGGGAGTGGCTGGCCCCAGGGCCCCGCTGCTGGTGCAGGAACAGGGCAGGTGCTTGCCCTTCCTCTGGGGCCTTGTTCCTGAGCACCCACTGCCGCGGGGGTGTTGATGAGTCCGGGCAGGGTGCTCTGTCTGCAGGCACAGCCTGTGGAGGCTGCTGCTTCTCCTGTGGGCAATGAGTGGGCCGAGGACTAGAGCCCCGCCCTGGGGACCCCTGTCCCCCCAGAGCTCCTGGGCCTGAGCGAGCTGAGTGGTGACATGTGGGAGTGTGGGTGTCCCCCTCTGCTGGACAGGGCTGGTGTCCTAAGCAGACGGCTTAGGAACATTCCAGACACACAGAGTGAACCCTGGGTGTGGAGGGGCTGTGCAGTGTGTGTGTGTGGCCACCTGCTGACCACGACCCACCCTGCCCTGCAGCACAGCCATGACCGTGCAGATCCTGCTGAAGCTGGACCGCCTGGACCTCGCCCGGTGAGCCCTCCCGCCCCCTCTCTACCACACGAGCCACAGCCTGGCCACATTGGGACCCCATGGCCCAGAGTGTCTGTGGTTACGTCATTACTCTTGATGTCCACGGGGCTGGCCATCACTCAGCCCCTCTCTGCAGTATTGCCAGGGAGGAGCGCCACGGCTATCTGTGCCTCCGTTTCTCTCTATGCAGTGGGTGGCAGGCCTGTCCCACAGGGTGAGGGTGAGCTTTGTGGAGGGAGTGGAGGCTGTGCCCGGAGGAACATGTCACTTGGCCGGCTTGTGACTGTGCCATGGGGCTGGCAGGGCCTGCACGTGGCATCCGCCGGTCGGAGGCTGTGGCTGGGGTCTGGCACTCCTCTGCTGCCATTTCCAAAGCCCTTGCCTCAGAGTTGTTCACGCTGTGGCTCCGTGGCCCTTCCCTGCATTACATTCTCTGTGGAGTGAGTGTCTCCCGAGCCCTACCTCGTGCGGGCCACCCTGGGGGTCCGTAGCTGGTGCCAGTCCAGCCTTCCAGGGCCTGCATGTGGCCGAACAGGCAAGGCAGCTTAGGAACTCAGTCGAGGGAGATGTGTGTGCAGGGGAGCACGTGGGAGGGGCCGTCCCTGAGCTCCAGTGGGCCCCAAGTGGGAATAAGGCAGGGATGACCAGGCCGGGTCCTCGGCCACTCAGCCCCTCCTTCCTCCATCCCCGCCCCAGGAAGGAGCTGAAGAGAATGCAGGACCTGGACGAGGACTGCCACCCTCACCCAGCTTGCCACCTGCCTGGGTCAGCCTGGCCACGGTGAGTCCCAGGCCACAGAGCAGGCGGGCATTGCAGGCACCTGGCTGAGCGGGGTCTGTGGGCACCCTGCACCTATGCCCAGGCTTGCCGGCCATTCCAGTGGGACTCCAGGATCAGGCCATGGCCCCTGCCAGCCTGGCACAGCTCTCAGCCTTGACTCCATTCCGGCTTCTCACAGCCAAGCAACTCGGCCAGAGCCAAGAGATGGTGGGGGCGGGGACGGGCGTTCCTGAGCCAGAGGTGCAGGCCTCCGCCACGACTAGCGGCCCAGCCACCCCAGCAGCCCCTCCTCCCCGCAGGGCTTCCTGGGGTTTCCTTCGGCTCAGCTTTGCTCTCCAGGGTCCTGGTCCCCAGCCATAGCAGCGCTGGAGATGTCCTCAGCTCCCAGGCCTGGGCATCCCCACTGGCAACAGCCCCCTCCTGGTTTCTGGGACTTGGCCCCCTTCTGAGCCACTCTTTTGTGCAGGCCTGTTAAAATGCACTCCCTGGGCCGGGCGGAGTGGCTCACGCCTGTAATCCCAGCACTTCTGGACGCCAAGGTGGGTGGATCATGAGGTCAGGAGTTTGAGACCAGCCTGGCCAACATGTTGAAAACCCATCTCTACTAAAAATACAGAAATCAGCTGGGTGATGCACAGCTGTAAGCCCAGCTACTCGGGAGGCTGAGGCAGGAGAATCTCTTGAGCCCAAGAGGCAGAGGTTGGGTGACAGAACAAGGCTCCATCTCAAAAAAAAAGAAAACAGTGTGCTCCCTGTCCCTGCTCCCCAGGAGGGTGCAGCCTCACCCAGATGGACTTGCAGTGTCCGTCCAGTGTGGTGGGACGGGCCCTGGCAGCCCTCTTGGGTAGTTTGAGCTGTTTTCACAGCCTGTCTTGGCCTCAGGCTCCCCCTGCAAGTGGCTCGCTGTCCCGAACAAGTGGACGGCTCAGGGCTGCTGGTCACAGAGCTGACTCCTCCGACCGGTCCGGTGACCCAGCAGTCCCCACTCAGACCCTGGCCCAGCCACCCGTGCACTGCACCCCTGGAAGCCCCAGGTTCCACCTCTGTGTACCCAGTGCTCCGGGAGCCGGGTGGGAGGTAGGGCAGGAGGCCTCGTCAGCAGAGTACCAACTACCAGCGGTCCCCATGGTGATGAGTGGCCGTGCTGTGAACCTGGCACACCAGATTCGCCTCCGCAAAGTGCTGGAGTTGCCCCACTGGGGGAGGGGGCCGGCAGCAGGAGCACAGGCGATAAAACCGGACCCTCCCCACAGGGCGGCGAGAAGCTGCAGGATGCCTACTACGTCTTCCAGGAGCTGGCTGACAAGTGCTCACCCACCCTGCTGCTGCTCAACGGACAGGCGGCCTGCCACATGGCCCAGGGCCGCTGGGAGGCTGCCGAGGGCCTGCTGCAAGAGGCACTGGATAAGGTAGGCACAGGCCCGTCCCGCAGTGGGGCCGGCGGGAAGCCAGGTGGCCGGAGGGCAGGGAGGACAGAAACAAGTGTAGCAGAGACCCCCCTGGGTGTGCCCAGTCAGCAGTGAGGCCTACAAAGCAGAGATCGTACCTGCAAATCGGTCCGGATTCCGACCTCGCAGAAACGGGGCATCCGGGCAGCCTGGGCCTCAGTGACCTGAGCTGTCCTTGCTGTCACCCCAGGGCCTGCACATGGGACCTCTCCCCTGAGTACGTATTCAGTACTTGAGGGAGGCTCCCAGTCCTCATCTGGAGGAGAGCGTGCTGTGGACAGGCGGTGTCCCCTTCGCGGAGAGAGCGCCGCCTGCCCGGGGTGGATGCAGCTGTCTCCTGCCTCACGTCTGCAGTCCTGTCTTTTTTTATAAATTTTTTTGAGATGGAGTTTCACTCTTGTCACCCCGGCTGGAGTGCAGTGGCGTGATCTCAGCTCACTGCAACCTCTGCCTCCTGGGTTCAAGCGATTCTGCCTCAGCCTATCGAGTAGCTGGGATTACAGGCGCATGCCGCCATGCCTGGCTAATTTTTGCATTTTTAGTAAAGACAGGGTTTCACCGTCTTGGCCAGGCTGGTCTCAAACTGCTGACCTCAGCTGATCTGCCCGCCTCGGCCTCCCAAAGTGCTGGGATTATAGGTATGAGCCACCACACCTGGCCATCTGCTGTCTTTCTGAAGAGTTTGTTATTGTAAATTTAAAATACATTAATATTTTGTAGAGATGGGGTTGTTCTTGCTGTATTGCCCAGGTTGGTCTCAAACTCCTGGCCTCAAGTGATCCTCCCACCTCAGCCTCCCAAAGCACTAGGGTTATAGGTGTGAGCCACCGTGCTCAGTGGATGATTATTATTACTTATTTATTTATTTTTAAGATGGGGTTTCGCTCTTGTTGCCCAGGCTAGAGTGCAGTGGTGTGATTTCAGCTCATTTCAACCTCTGCCTGCCCAGTTCAAGCGATTCTCCTGCCTCAGCCTCCCAAGTAGCTGGGACTACAGGTGCATGCCCCCATGCCCAGCTAATTTTTGTATTTTTTGTAGAGACCCAGTTTCTCCATGTTGGCCAGGCTGGTCTTAACCTCTTGACCTCGTGATCCGCCCACCTTGGCCTCCCAAAGTGCTGGGATTACATGGATGAGCTGCCGTGCCTGGCCTATTGTTTTTATAATCAGAAAGGACATCAAAGCTTTTTCCATTTTGGAGAAACAGGTTTTTTGGGTTTGTTTTTTTGTTTTTTTTCTGTGCTTTGAGACAGGATGTGCCACCACACCTGGCTAATTTTTGTATTTTTTGTTAGAGATGGTTTCTCACTGTGTGGTCCAGGTTAGTCTTGAACTCCTGGGCTCAAGCAGTTCTCACCCTCCTTGGCCTTCTGAAGTGCTGGGACGACAGGCCTGTGCCACTGCACCCAGCCGACATCGAGTGTTAATCCACTGACAAACACCGCTTCAGCTCTCCTCCCTGCCTCACGTTCCCAGGGCCTGAGTTATCATCAGAAAGTTGTTTGCAGAGCGGGGCAGGCCAGGGGGTGTCAGGCTGGCTCCATCACAGGCTGGAGGCTGCTCCTCCTGGGTGGGGTTCGTCTTTAGCTCTGAGCAGTTAGGGCTGGTCAGGAGCTCACAGCATGATGCGGCATCTCAGACAGGCTGTGTGTCCCTCACTGCCCCAGGGGCTGAGACTGGCGCCCTCCTCCATCACCCTGCCCCTCCCTGCTACCTGAGAACACCTGGATGGATGTGTGTTCTGTGTTCATGGCCGCCTCCTCATGGGGCTTTTGTTACCCCTCTCAGGTGACACACTCCGTGACTCACCCGTTAGACAACTCCCTTCTGTCCTGTCTCCTGAAACACCACCCGGGGCCGGCTGGCTGTGCCCCATGGCCCTGGGGGCCTCCGCATGGCTGTGGTCACCCTGCATTCTTGCCGGGCTTCCAGGAGGCACTCAGGTCCCCCCACTTCTCTTTGGAGCCACCTCATGGCTGCTCCTGTGAGTGCAAGCTGGTGCCCCCTTAATGGTGGAGACTGAGACTCAGGAAAGTCCAGTCTCCAAAAAGGTGCCCCGCTGTGGGCAGGCTGGGCTCCTGGTGTGTCCCAGCTGGTGCCTCTGTGCCCCAAGCGGACACCAGGGCTCTGGCGTAGGTGATTCCCAGGGTCCTGTGTGCCTGGGAGCTTAGAGTAAGTGGGTCAGGCAAGGTCACCTGCCGAGGTTTCTCGGGGTTCATTGTGCCACAGGAGTGCAGGCCATCTCGGCTTTGAGATGTGTGGGACAAATACATCCTTCCCAAGTCTCCACAAACGAGGGGTCGTGCCCCAGACTGGACCACAGATGGGGAAACTGAGGCTCAGCGAGCAGGTGGCCCCTTGGCACCGTATCGCCTGAGGTCTCCACCTTGCAGAGGGGTGGGCAGGGGGACTCTGGCAGTGTCGGTCCCAGTCCACCTCTGAGGAGGTGACCTTTTGTGGTCCTGGCCAAGGTGGGGGTGATGGGCAGGCCTGGGGGCTCGAGTGGCTGACCCTGCCTGTCGCGTCTGCCTGGGTCTCTAGGACAGCGGCTACCCAGAGACGCTGGTCAACCTCATCGTCCTCTCGCAGCACCTGGGCAAGCCCCCCGAGGTAAGCGGCCCCCAGGGCTCCAGGCCAACCCTAATGACCAGACCCTGGGACCCCAGCCTGGGGTCCTAATCCCTAGATCCCTGGGAAGGCTCTGCACACAGTGTGTCCATCAAAGCCCACCTCCCTCACAAACCCTGCACCCCCAACCCATCTTCACCTGGGGTCCTGTCCAGCCGGCTCCCCTGAACTCCACGGCGCATCTGCCACTACGTGCAGAAGCCAACACTGCTCCAGGGGTCGGCCCTGGCTCCTGCCCCCATCCACCCCCGTCCTGCAGGTCAGAGCTGCTGTGGGGTCCCCATGTTCGGCTCACCCGCCTCCCTGCCTCCCCTGCAGGTGACAAACCGATACCTGTCCCAGCTGAAGGATGCCCACAGGTCCCATCCCTTCATCAAGGAATACCAGGCCAAGGTGAATGGCGGGGGTGGCCTGTCCCCAAGAACCAGGCCAGGGGGCACCTGGAACTCAGCCTAGACTCACATGCAGCCTCTCTCCCTCCCTTTTCTCCCCCACCTGTCTCCCCACACCCCGCCCCCACCCTGTGTCGCCTGCTTCTCGCTGAAGGAGAACGACTTTGACAGGCTGGTACTACAGTATGCTCCCAGCGCCTGAGGCCGGCCCAGAGCTGTCAGGACCTTGAAGCCACGACAGAGGCCAGGAGTCCTGCAGCCCTCCCCACCCGGCACCTACCCTGCGTCCTCTCTGGGGGCAGGAGCCCGGCCCCAGCACCTGCATCTGTCAATAAATGTCTCCAGAGTGTTCCCACCTGATGATGTGCTCTGGCCGCTTTGCTGGGGGGTGTGGGAGGTGATGCTCAGGGAGAGTCCTGGGGCACTGGCACCCAGGGCTGTTTCGGGAGACCAGCATTTCTGGTGAGCCCCAGCTGTGCAGACCTCTACCCCACCCTCACACAGCCACAGCTGCTCCTGCCAAGCCAGAGGCAGCACAGCCCTGTCCACACCTCACCCTGGCCCCGAGAGGACACTGAGCAACCCTGGTTGGCATCGGGAAACTGAGGCACAGAGAGGTCATGCAGTTATTGTGAGGGGCACTGAGATTCAAAACAAGAATTCCTGAGTGGTGTGGAGGTAGTGGGGGCTCAGCCTTCAGCTCAGCAAAGCCGGAGGGGCCCCAAAGGGTCAGCATTAACCCCACGCTCCTCCTGCCGCCCTGCAAACCCTCCACCAAGTCAGAGCCCTGCTGTGGCGGGGCCCTGGGGCCAAGCACCCAGCCACGATGAGAGGCGGCCACACAATAGGGAAGCGGGTGGGCGGCAGCGGGCCTGGCCACAGCCTCCCAGATGAGGTCACCATTGAACTGTCCACCCGATCAAGGAGGAGCTGTCAGGCTAGGTTCTGGGAGGACAGGCACCCCGGCAGTGTCCCGGCTGGTGCAAAGGTCCCTCGGTGGCTCAGGGCAGTAAGATCGAAGGGGGCTGGACAGGGCTGCATACCCTTTGACCTCTGAGCCTGGCCTAGGCTTATCTCCCAGAGAAAAGATAAGAGGCTGGGTTTCCCCGAGCCCCACCCAGACCTATTCATTTGAAACCGGACCCTGTCTGGTTGCCAGGGCAGGACAGCAAGCGACCCCTGCCCCCAGCTCCTCCCTGCCTGGTCAGGGAGGGAAGTGACAAGAGAGGACTTCTGGGCAAAGAAATCAGGAGGGGTCCAGGCCAAGCTTCCTGGAGGGAGGAGACCTTGGTGGGGGGGGGTGGATGTGCACTGGCCTCAAGACTGACCCCTGCCTGGTCTCGGGTGTCCCCAGCTGCCAGCAGAGTCACCTTCCATTCCTGCCCTGCACCCCACCCATTGGCAGCCTCCCAGCTAGACCCGCCAAAAAGAAATTTGAGGCCGAGCTGGGGCCAGTGGGTGGGCGGGTAGCGCCTCTCCCAGGACCGATGGGCGCCATGGTGACCAGATAGTGCTGGCCGGGAGGGTGGGGGAGGTGGCTGGTCCCATCCAGGGCTACCCCACAGGCCTAGTCAGACCTATAAGAGTATGTCCAGCCGAGCCCTGCATCCCCGTCGCCTCCCTCTGCCTGCCCAGCAGATTGTGGCATCTCTGGCCTCCAGCTGGCCCTGAAATACTGGCCAGGCCAGGCCTCATGTCACCCACACACAGCCTGTCACATCCCTCCCTGACTCAGGGATAGACTCCTAGCCACGTGGAGTCCACAGTCAAGAATAAGGAGTGGGACCAGGTACAGTGGCTCTTGCCTGTAATTCCAGCACTTTGGGAGGCCAAGGTGGGCAGATCACTTGAGGTCAGGAGTTTGATTACCAGGCTGGCCAACATGGTGAAACCCCTTCTCTACTAAAAATATAAAAATTAGCCAGGATTGGTGGCTGGCGCCTATAATCCCAGCTACTTGGGAGGCTGAGTCAGGAGAGTCGCTTGAACCCGGGAGGCAGAGGTTTCAGTGAGCTGAAGTCATACCATTGCACTCCAGCCTGGGCAACAAGAGTGAAACTCAAAAAAAAAAAGAATAAGGAGGAGCTGTATGTATTCCGGGCATCTGGTGACAAGTGACAAGCACACTTGAGGGGTGTGTGGGACTTTAGAGTCGGGCAGCCTGAGCAGGTGGCAGAAGAGCCCTGCAGGTACTCAGGGGAACAGCATTTCAGGAGGAGGAAGAGCCAGTACAAAGGCCCTGAGGCAGGACGGAGGCAGGTTGGAAGAACAGCAGGAAAGCCCATGGGTGCCGGGAAACAGACACTGTGAGGGCGGCCAGTGAGGACGTGGGCTTTTCCTGAGTGGGGCGGGCGCCATGGAGGGCTGCGAGCAGAGGAGGAACAGGCCTGAGAGTGTCCAGCCTGCTCCTGGCCTCTGTGGGAAGCCAGGATACCAGACAGAACCCCCAGAAGGTTGGGTGGGGGCAAGGATGTGCAGGTGCAGAGAAGTGGCCAGATGCAGGCGCAACTGAAGGCGGGGCCACCTGGCTGTGTTGCAGGGGCTGGGTATGGGTCAAGGGGAAGGTGTGTTCACCTGTGCCCCGCAGGTCAGGTGCGGGTGTGTGGGAGCCAGCTCGGCGCTACAGGACTCATCGCTGCATCCCGCACCTTGAGGGCCAGGCGTGAAGAAGATGGGGGCTGGGAGAAGGGGGGGGCAGCAGTGCCAAGGGGAGGTGGCGGCCCCAAAAGGGGTGACCAGTGTCTCCCTTGATGGCCCTCAGGGGCTTTGGGCACAGCCTGGTCAATGGACACTGCATTGGAAGGCCACTTGTGGGGGTCCCAATGACGTCATAGTCCATCCAGGTTGGGAGTCCCCCCCACGTTGGCACCCACTCCTGCAGCCTCTCTGCAACTCATGTGTTAACCTGGGGAGGTTAACACATGGGGAGGCCTGCCGGGGTCCCCAGGGTCGCAGAGAGCAGCAAGTGACCCTCAGAGAACCCCCTAATCTCAGTAGCCCTCATCACACCTTTAAGTCCTGGTAGCCCGCTCTGCAGACCTGCAGAGGAAGAGGCCTGGGAAGTGTCCAGGCTGGAACCCCACTGCCAGGCCCCTGGTGCGGGACAGAGGGCTGCGTCTGTCTCCACGAGGTGCGCTTCCCAATGCCCTGGTGTGGGCCGTGTCCTTTTGAAGAATGAGAATGTTTCATTGAGCCTACGCCTGAATGCGGGAAGGCCACGGGATGGTCCTGAGTCTGTGCCAAGGCGTACCAGGACTCGGGTCCTTGAGGAGGAGCGAGGGCTCCGGGAACGGTGAGGTCCGAGCCGGCCAGAGCGATGAAATGGGACTGGTGTTCTGGAGGGCCGGGAGGAGCGAGGGTCGCCGGCCGAGGGGACTATCTGCTAGTGTCCCCCGTGCCCCCCGTCACGGGCACGGTGCGGTGGGGTGAGGGAGCCGGGGGCGTGCGGGGCGGGCATGGGGGCGCGACACGGCCGGGCGCGGGGTCTCTTGTGGTCCAGGTCCAGCGGGCGCCCAGCTGGCTCCGGCTGCCTCCCCCAGCGCCTTGGTTTCTCTGCTGGGAAACAAGCAGGGGCGCTGGCCCGCCTCAGGGGCGCCGCGCGTCCCCCCTGGCCGCCCCCCGGCCGCGCCCCCGTAGGGGCGGAGCTTGCGCCAGTCCCGCCCCTCCTCCCTCGGCTCCCCAGCCCGCGCGCCCCCGGCCCAGCTGCGGCGCGTGACGCGGGGCGCGCGGCTCCGGCGGCTACAGCGGGCGGGCGCAGGCGACGGGGACGGCGGGCTAGCGGGCGGCATGGCGGCGGCAGGGCTCGCGGCAGGGCCCACGGGGCCCGAGCCCATGCCAAGCTACGCGCAGCTAGTGCGGCGCGGCTGGGGCAGCGCGCTGGCGGCGGCGCGGGGCTGCACGGACTGCGGCTGGGGGCTGGCGGCCCGCGGCCTGGCCGAGAACGCGCACCTGGCGCCGCCCGAGCTGCTGCTGCTGGCCCTCGGCGCGCTGGGCTGGACCGCTCTGCGCTCCGCGGCCACCGCGCGCCTCTTTCGGGTCAGTGTGGCGGGGGGCCGGGACGAGGGGACCCGGGACTGGGGGAAGCCGGGACCGGGGATCTCGGGCCGCCGCGGGTCCCTTTCTCCCAGGGCTGGCTGCTGCGGATGAGGGGGTCGCCGGAACGTGGGTGGGGGCCTCGGGCTGGAGGGTCCCGGGATGTTAGAACCCCGGGACGGGGTCTCTCGGGCCGCCCCGTGCCCCTTTGAGTCAGTGCGGCGTGGGGGACCCGGGTTGATGCGGGGGTGTGGCCGGGCCGGGGTGAGTCTGGGACAAGGGTGCCCGAGACGGTGGGGTGTTTGAGACACGGGGGACCAAGGCACGAGCCTTTCCGGTCAGTTTGGGACCAGGGGACCCGCGAGGTAGATGGCTTGGGCCACCATGCGCTCTTTCCGGCAGTGCCGAGCCAGGGCACTGAGAAGCCCAGGACCGGGACAGGGAGGGCACGGCGCACCACGGCCGCCTGCGCCTTTCGCCTCCCGGCCGTGTAGGCTGGGCTCTGGCCCTGCAGCGGGGTCCGCTGCTCGTTTTCTTCAGGGTCCCTGCTCGGCTTGCCCGCTGCAATCGGGAAGAGGCGGGAGCTGCTCTGTCGCTGCCTTGTGCCTGTCTGGGGTCAGCGCCACCCTCCGACCAGGGATGGCAAAGGCCTGGGCGCCTTGGCCACGCCAGTGGTCGCTCCCTTGACAGTGACAAGGCCCGGGGCTTCAGGGTTGGACTGTGCTGCCTCCAATGAGGCGACAGCAGAATTCCCCAGTTTCTGCTGAGACCATCGCCCCTGCGGGAGACTGACCATGGTGGTGACATTGGCGCCTGACCCCACTCCCTTCCCTGGGGAGGGGTCGCTGTGGCAGGAGCTGGTGGCAAAATGTTTGGGCCTTTAGCTTGGCTTGACACCCCCATGGACCAGCTGGTGTCACCCCGCCCGTCTGGCTGGAGGGTGCAGGGACAGTGTGCCCTGGGCCAACAAAGGGGCCTTTCTCTGCTGGCCGGGAAGAGGCTGGCCCTTGTTAGGTCGAGGATGGGCTGTTGTCAGACTGCCACTCTCCCCACTCCCGTCCCCATACCACCCATATGGGGGAGAGACCCCAGCCACCCCCTACTGCGGGAGGGAAGACAGGGCTGTCCAGGGCCCCTCCCTGGGTCCACAGTGGTCTTTATCCTGCTTGTTGCCCCTGCCTTCTTCCCAATTTCTGGCTGAGAAGCCCGAGGCCCAGGAGGGCAAGGCCCCCATCCCCCACCCCGGGGGCAGGAGGATGTGGCCACTCTTGGACTACCAGGGCTGAGCCAGGGGGCCGTCCCCAGCCTGGGTGGGGTGCTCGCCCAAATTCCAGGCTCGCCCTTCTCCAGAAATGGGTGGAGGGGCTGCCGGGTGCTCCAAAGCTCATCTTCTTGGCAGCAGCCTGGTTGCCAGGGGTTACCGGAGCGGGCTCCAGCTGTCTCCATGACAACTACTGGGTGCTCTGGGCTCCGTCCCCCTCAGCTTCGGGGGAGGGGGCGGGGCTTGACCGGGCTGCTCGAGCCCCGCCCCCAGGGAATTTGAGCGTCCCCCACTGCACTGCCCACCCGCAGCCTTGGAGCCGGCAGCTTCCTCTGCACTCCCGATGCTCCCTGGGGTCTCAGCTCGCCTGTGACACCCTTTCCGCGGCCTGTCCCCTCTTCCTCCCTCCAGCCCCTTCTCTCCTTTCATTGCCCCCAGGTTCCCATGGGGAACCTTCCCCCCAGTCTCCCTCAGCCCTCTATTCTCTGGTCTCCCCAAATGCCCCCGCTGAGACGGCGGCTTCCTCTCAAGTTCTTTCTTCTGCATCGTTCCCATGGGGCTCCCTATGTTCCCCAAGACGCTGGGTGCTCTGGGCTCCGGCCCCCTCTGCCTCTGTGAAGGGGGCGGGGCTTGTCCAGGGACAGGCAGCTCGAGCCCCGCCCCCAGGGAGCTTGAGCACCCCCGCCCCCGACACCGCACTCCCTAACCCCTTCCTCTGCACTCAGGTTCGGGGAACCCCTCCTTGTTCCCTTCATGAGTCGCCTCCAGCAGCCCAACTCCCCTAGGCTGACCCACCCATCTCTCTCCGCCATAAGCCGAGTGTCCCCCCTCCCGGCCCCCAGAGCCCTCCTGTTCCCCTCCTCTCCCCTCCGGGTTCCCCCCCTGACTCCCAGCGCCACCGGGGCGGACAGCTGGGCACTAAGTTTAGCCTTGGCAGGTGCCCATGGGCTCTGTTTACGCTCCAGGTGATTGTGGGCAAGGGGGACGGGCCTTCCCAGTGCCGCCCCGCCTGGAGAGTCCCTGGGCCACTCCAGGGACTCTCCAGGCCAGCGTTTCCCCACCCTGGAGAAGCAGTCGCTGGTCTCCAGCACCAACGGTTGCCCTCCTGCCTTCTCCCTCATAGCCCCTAGCGAAGCGGTGCCGCCTCCAGCCCAGAGATGCCGCCAAGATGCCAGAGAGTGCTTGGAAGTTTCTCTTCTACCTGGGCAGCTGGAGCTACAGTGCCTACCTGCTTTTTGGCACCGACTACCCCTTCTTCCATGACCCACCCTCTGTCTTCTACGGTAGGGGCCCTGAGGGGATGGCGGGAGGGCTCTGCTTAAAACACAAAGAAGCTAGGCAGTGACGGGTGCTTGCGGTCCCAGGTACTCGGGAGGCGCAGGCGGGAGGATCGCTGGAGCCCAGGAGCTGGAGGCCGCAGGGAGCTGTGAGCACGCCATTGGGCGACAGAATGAGACCGTCTCTTATCAGAAAAGAGAAAGATAGAACGGTGTCAGGGGACTGCTTATCAGAATCAGAGCTCCTATGGGTGTCTCAGAAGTGAAGCCTGACAAGGGTGATCCATGGGGACAGCCCTGTGAGAGCTCAGGGAAGACATCCTGGAGGAGGGACCCCTGTGTGGGCCCAGGCAGGACTTCCAGGTGTGGGTAACAGCATGTGCAGAGGCCGGGAGGCACTCACATGGCATGGGGACAGGAGGAGGGTGGCTGCAGGGAGCTGAGGCAGGAGTTGGAGTTCCGTCCTGAATGGGATGTTTTTAAGCACGGCATGGAGAGGATTGGGTTTTGTGGATGATAAAATGCTTCCTCTGGCTGCCTCTGGAGGTGGGAGGTTCCCCGTGGCTTGTACCATCTTGGTGAGGAGATAAAAATGATGAGGCCGGGCTCGGTAGCTCACACTTGTAATCCCAGCACTTTGGGAGGCTGAGGCACTTGCGTCACCTGAGGTCAGGAGTTCAAGACCAGCCTGGCCAACAGGGTGAAACCTCGTCTCTACGAAAAATACAAAAATTAGCCAGGCATGGTAGCACCTGCTTGTAATCCCAGCTGTTGGGGAGGTTGAGGCAGGAGAATCACTTGAACCCCAGGAGGCGGAGGTTGCAGTGAGCCGAGATCGTGCCACTGCACTCCAGCCTGAGTGACAGGGCGAGACTCCATCTCTGGGAAAAAAAAAATGGTGAGAAGTGGGCCAGGTGTGGTGGCTCACTAGCTCACACCTGTAATCCCAACACTTTGGGAGGCAAAGGTGGAAGGATCACTTGAGCCCAGGAGTTTAAGAGCAGCTGGGGCAACATGGTGAAACTCCATTTCTACAAAAAATTAGCCTGGTGTGGTGGTACACATCTGTAATCTCAGCTACTTGGGAGGCTGAGGTGAGAGAATCCCATGAACCTGGGAGGCGGAGGTTGCAGTGAGCCAAGATCGCGCCACTGCACTCCAGCCTGGATGACAGAGCGAGACCTTGTCTGAAAAAAAAAAAAAAAAAATAGATTGGATGTGGATTGAGCTCTGGGTGGCTGGGCAGGAAGGTGACTGCAGTGTGCTCTGTGTGACCTGCCCTGGCAGAGAATGCAGGGCAGGGCCAGCATTGCCACTGGGCAGGTTGATGTAGGAGACCCCATCTGCACTGGGGCTGTGGGGGCGGCAGCTTCTCTGCCCTTCGAGGACCACCAGGATACACATGATAGGTGTTCCCTGCCATGTGATAACAACAGCCTAGAGGGCTCCTGGTGGCACTGAGCCCAGAGTGCTCAGTGGATGTGCCACCGTGAGGCCACGTTCCTCATGCCATGCACCTTGAATCCCCACAGGGGAAGTGTGAGCAGTCACTCAGTGTCCTTGTGATGCATGAGCCATGACTGAATGCTCTGAACTTTTTTTTTTTTTTTTTTAAAAGATGGCGTTTCACCATGATGGCCAGGCTGGTCTTGAACTCCTGACCTCAGGTGATCCACCCACCTCGGCCTCCCAAAGTGCTAGGATTACAGGCGTGAGCCACCGCGCCCGGCCGCTCTGAACTGTGTGTTGTTGTTGTTGAGTCAGAGTTTCACTCTTGTTGCCCAGGATGGAGTGCACTGGCACGATCTCAGCTCACCGCAGTCTCCACCTCCCAGGTTCAAGCAGTTCTCTTGCCTCAGCCTCCTGAGTAGCTGGGATTACAGGCATGCCCCACTACGCCTGGCTAGTTTTGTATTTTTAGTAGAGACAGGGTTTCTCCATATTGCTTAGGCTGATCTCGAACCCCAAACCTGAGGTGATCCACCCAACTCAGCCTCCCAAAGTGCTGGGATTACAGGTGTGAGCCACTGCGCCTGGCACCTCTTAACATTTTGGGCATGTTGCCTCTAGTTTCTTTTTATTTTACTTTATTTTTTGAGACAGAGGAGTCTTGCTGTCGCCCAGGCTAGAGTGCAGTGGCGCCATCTCAGTTCACTGCAACCTCCGCCTCCCCAGTTCAAGCAATTCTCATGCCTCAGCCTCCTGAGTAGCTCTGGAACTACAGGCCTGTGCCACCACACCTGGCTAATTTTTGTAATTTTAGTAGAGATGGGGTTTGACCATCTTGTCCAGGCTGGTTTGAACTCCCGACCTCGTGATCTACCCGCCTCGGCCTCCCAAAGTGCTGAGGTTACAGGTGTGACCACCCCGCCCTGTCTAGTTTCTTTTTTTCTTTTGAGACCGGGTCTTCCTCTGTTGCTCAGGCTGGAGTGCCGTGGGGCGCTCATGGCTCACTGCAGCCTCAACTTCCTGGGCTCGAAGCAATCCTCCCACCTCAGCCTTCCAAGTAGCTGGGACCACAGGGCTGTGCCACCGTGCCCAGCTAGTTTTTGCGTATTTTTTGGTAGAGATGGAGTCTCACTCTGTGGGCCAGGCTAGTCTTGAACTCCTGGCCTCGAGCAGTCCTCCCACCTCAGCTGCCCAGAGTGGTGGGATCGCAGGTGGGAGCCACCGTGCTCAGCTTCACTTGCTTTCTGTAAGTGATACTGACAAGCTAGCTGATTAGTTCCACGTGCATTTATTGAGCGCCTATTGTATGCCACAGCTGAGACCCAGCTAGGAACCGGTCAGAGAAAGCCCTGTGCCCTCGTGAAGCTGGCCGTGTGGCAGGGGCAGCAGTGAGGTACACAGTCTATCAACAGCAGTAGGTGTCGATGAGAAAACCTGTGTGGAGAGAAGAGGAGGTGTGTGGTGTTGGGGAGGTGGGAGGGGCAGCCCCACTGAAGGGGACTGAGTGAGGGCCTGGAGGAGCCCGGGGCAGGCAGGAGAGGCAGGGACTGCTGTCCAGCTGAGTGGGGACCCTGCCTTCCAGGCCTCGGAGGCCAGGGTCAGGACCTGTCATTTACCTGTGGGCTGGGGCAGGGGAAGGATGTCACCCTAGGTTGGGCACCTGCCCCAGGGGTCCGGGAGGGGGGCTGACGGCAGGAGCTGCAGCCCGTGAGCTGAGGGGAGGGGATGGGAGCCAAGTGGCTGATTTGAGAAATGTTTAGAAGGCAGAGCTGATAGTATTTGCTGCCACCCTAGAGGTGGTGTGAGAGAGGAAGATGGTGGGGATGACGCCCGGGTCTTGTGAGATGGGGGCTGGTCAGGGGGACCAAGATTTTGGATTCAGTGCCAGGGGAGGTGGCTCACTCCTGGAATCCCAGGGCTTTCGGGGGACCGAGGTGGGAGGATCACTTGAGACCAGTGTTCAAGACCAGCCTGGGGAATATCGTGAGATGCTATCTGTACAAAAAATAAAAAATAAATTAGCTGGATAAGGTGGCGTGAGCTTGTGGTCCCAGCTTCTCAGGAGGCTGAGGCAGGGGGATTGCTTGAGGCCAGGAGGTCGAGGCTGCAGTGAGCCAAGATTACACCGCTACACTCCAGCCTGGGCGACAGAGGGAGCCCCTTTCTCAATTAAAAAAAAAAAAAGGAGAGGAGATTTGAGACCCTGGAACTGAGCCAGGACATCCCCCATCCTGTGGGAGGTAAAGCCGCAGGAGGGGTGGGGGTCTCCTGTTTCAAAGGTGCGCAAGAAATCCAGCGAGGTGGCCCTGGGCAAAAGCTCCGGCTCAGATGTTTCTGGAGAGTCAGGATGGACAGGATCAGGGTATTTTGGAGTTTCACCCAATTTTCATTGTAATTCTGGAAGAGGTTTGGGCGTGGTGGCTCACACCTGTAATCTTAGCACTTTGGGAGGCTGAGGCAGGCAGATCTCTTGAGACGAGGAGTTTGAGACCGGCCTGGCCTGGCCAACATAGTGAAACCCCATCTCTACTAAAAATACAAAAATGAGCCGGCCGTGATGGTGAGTGCCTGTAATCCCAGCTACCTAGAGGCTGAGGCAAGATAATCGCTTGAATCCAGGAGGCGGAGGTTGCAGTGAGCCGAGATCCCAGCACTGCACTCCAGCCTAGTGACAGAGCGAGACTGTCTCAAAAAAGAAAAGAAAAGAAAGGAAATTCTGGAAGACAGTGTGGACTACGGGAGGGTTTTGTTTTTTTAGAGGCAGGTCTCACTCTGTTGCCCAGGCCGGAGTGCAGTGGTGCGATCTCCACTCATTGCAACCTTTGCCTCCTGTGTTCAAGGGATTTTCTTGCCTCAGCCTCCCGAGTAGCTGGGATTACAGGCATGAGCCACCTCGCCTGGCTAGTTTTGTATTTTTAGTAGAGACGGTTCTCCATGTTGGTTAGGCTGGTCTTGAACTCCCGAACCTCATGTGATCTGCCCACCTCAGCCTCCCAAAGTGCTGGGATTGTAGGTGTGAGCCACTGCGCCCAGCCTCTCTTACTATTTTGGGCATGTTGCCTCTAGTTTCTTCCTTTTTTTTTTTTTTTTTTTTTTCCTGAGACGGAGTTTCACTCTTGTTACCCAGGCTGGAGTGCAATGTCGGGATCTCGGCTCACCGCAACCTCCGCCTCCTGGGTTCAGGCAATTCTCCTGCCTCAGCCTCCTGAGTAGCTGGGATTACAGGCATGCGCCACCATGCCCAGCTAATTTTTTGTATTTTTAGTAGAGACGGGGTTTCACCATGTTGAGCAGGATGGTCTCGATCTCTTGACCTCGTGATCTACCCGCCTCGGCCTCCCAAAGTGCTGAGGTTACAGGTGTGACCACCCCGCCCTGCCTAGTTTCTTTTTTTCTTTTGAGACCGGGTCTTCCTCTGTTGCTCAGGCTGGAGTGCAGTGGGGCGCTCATGGCTCACTGCAGCCTCAACTTCCTGGGCTGAAGCAATCCTCCCACCTCAGCCTTCCAAGTAGCTGGGACCACAGGGCTGTGCCACCGTGCCCAGCTAGTTTTTGTGT